GATCCATAATGTGATAGTTGAGGATAGAGATAGATAAAGAAAAACAATAAAATACTTTGAGACTGCTTATAACTTTTATTAAGAGTAAAAGTAGATTAAAAGATTGAGAGGGTTCTATTCTAACTATCAGTTTGCATATTTATATATGTTAAGAGAAATCGGATTATGAATTTAGTTTGATGGATAAGTTACACAGCACTAAAATAGTGCTTGTAGTTGGATATGATATAATGTATAAGAAATTAGTTCGTGTTGTGATGTAATAACGTATGGGGTGATGAAGTGAGATTTAATTTTAATATTGTTTTATGGTGTGATTAGTAACAACAGCAGGTGGATCACCACACATAAGATGCTACATTAACCGTTTCTAATGTTGCGGTCATTGAAAGTGTCCTACAATATATACCTTGTGTCAGGAACGTGGCTAGGAATATATTACAGCAATAATATCAGAAGATATCTACTAGTTATACAAGACAAAGGAAGAGTGGTTTATAAAGTATTTAATAATAATAATAGATTATACAGGAAAGGGGAAGGATACAAGAGATACAAGGGATACAAGATAATCGACATGGAACGGGGAAGGCAATGGAAAGGGGGAGTATTTATATCTTTTCAGATAACATGGGTTTGCATTTAAGAATGTCTTGGCTTACTTAATTAGTCTTAGTGTTGGTTTCAGCTTACGTGGCCGAAACCCATGAGTCATGATTACTAATTGCTTGGCGTCGGAGATACTTGGAAACGAGTCATGATTACTAATCTCTTGGAAGCGGAGGTTCGTTGCGTGGATAGTCTTGGAAGGTCCTGGAAGGTTCTGGACACTGGCGTTGTTGAATCTCAGCATGAGATTCCAGAACATTCCAATAGTCGGGGATTCGTGGTCAGGGGCAAAGTTCAAAGTACGTGGTTCATGACAGTTTGTATGTATTTAAAAAATCGTCAAGGTAAATATGGTGCCTATTCGGTTGCTGTTTGCCCGATATGCGGTGGAGAGATTTCCTTTATCATGCTAAAACTACTCCAATTATTTATTAGTACTGGTTCTTGGCATAAAATTACCTACCATGCCGATTGGTGAAATGTTTAATAACTTACTCCGTACTCGCTGGTATTTAAGCACGTCTTCCTGTTTTCCATCCGAAAAAGTATGGAAGTACCAAGTTAATATCAAGTAACTCTAAATTATAATATATTTTATTCACTGCATCACATGATTCTTGATAATTTATTCCATTAACTTATTAGTTATGTCGTGAAAACTTATTACATCATTTTAGTACGAGCTTTGACTATTTTTGTGGAAAAATGTCAAATTTCATTCGGTGAACAACTCTGTTTGTGGAAGCAAGTATTTTTCTGTCTCTTCTGTCCGCCTTTTCGCTCTTGACATTCGCCGATTGTATATTAATGAGATATCAAAACAAGCTAACTATCTTACAAAATTTGATAAGTATCCCCAAAATAGGGTCATCCACTCGAATATTCCGGTATCGAGCAGATAATTCACTCCTAATAGTGAAAGATACAATCTCATCCTTCACCCCAATGTTTACCATGCGGATAATTTAACGCTCATCAACTAGAAGTTGTTTATGAATTCCTATAATCTTATATAGAAAAAACCGTCGATGCTCTCAATGATTAGTCTCGATTATCTTTCGAACCGGATTCTTACATGTTGGTAACCGTATATCTAAAAGATGAGTCTAACATTATACTCTATTCATCTAACGTCAGACTCATAAAAATTATAAAACCGAATAAACAAGTTGAGAAATTCGAGAGATAAAGCAACGAATTAAGAATAAAAATAAAGAAATTTGACGAAGTAAAATTATCAAACTGCAAAAATAAACTCAAGTCTTTATTATACAATAAATTGGGTTCTTTATATACATATTCAGGGCTGGCTGAATATCAATCATTAAAGTGAAACCTGTCAAATATACAATAGGCGTATTGTCAATTAAAGATCGAGCATCTCATGGTACCTTCGAGAATCTTGTTACTGATGAGCGATCATATCATTGGATTGTATTATCTGGAATAAATGTATGACTATTGTTTTCTATATGTTGATGAGTAATCAATGCGTAGTAAATAGAGTGTAATAGCATGTATCTGATTTAAAGAGTAATGCAATAATGATTTATAGAAAGGTTATCAAATAAGCAAGAAAGAGTTGATGATAGAGTTATATCTGTATATAAGCTCGATCACAACACAAGTTTCCTCTAGAAATGTCACGTTCGAAAGCCTCGACGGCATTCATTATAACTTTATGTAGTTCCGACTTTCATTCAGGGTGCTATATCTGTCAAGGCTAGGCCTTCAGAGGGAAGAATAGTGTAGAGCGCGTAGTGTATGGTACTAAAACATAAATAAGTCAATGGGATCACCGTTCTTTGGAACAAGAGTAGAACCGTTAAAAAGACCTCGTTGTGTTACGTAAAATAACGTTCTTGTCTGTATCGTTCCCACATTTGTCCGGTGTTGCTAAACGTTTGTAAAAATAGTTTTGCTTCTTCCCTATCTATCTGTAATTTTATTTTGTTTTTATCACTAAAACTCATCGAGTAATCCACCTAGCAAACATACAAAAAATGCGCGGCGGACAGTTTAGAGCTACGTCGAATGGCTGTTGCGTGCTAGTGCGTTTTCACGTAAACTTCGTTCATCCAATCTATAACTTCCTATTGTGATAATCTCCACGGCTAACACTCCTTTCATTCCAAGCATGCCGTAAAGGCGCAGGACGCGTTCACCTCTAATTTTATTCTCATAAAATTTTGCAACCGAAGCACCATTCGCCACCATTTCCTCCTGCGCATCATGTGCAGAATAGAATCGATGCAAGATAGATTCCACAAATGTCATATATTGATACAGGCTCAAAATATTCTTCATCACTTGGCCTGTTTCATTCATGAAATTGATAGTTGCAGCTACTTGGCATAATTGAGCCGTAAATGCTTCCAAGTTTCTTGACTACCTCAATTCATCTAATGCCGCACCAGTACCACTTCTACGCACAACCAAATTGAGTTCGTGGGCTCTATCTTCCAATGTATCCGTATACGCACGGCTATTGTTTTTTCTTCCAAACGCAACATCACTTTGCTACGAAGTTCAGAAAATTCCAAATCTTCCAATTCTCCTGCAATGGTTACTCTGTCTGCTGCTCTTGTTGCTGCCTCCGCAGCGTCCTGCACCTCCTCAACCAATGCAGATGGTCTTGCTGTGGGTGGTCTAGCCACTGTTGTGGATATTTCTTCTGTTGCCGTTGTGGCTGTTGATGCTGTTGTTGCTGCTGCTTGTGCTTGTGCTTGCGCTCGTCCTGCTGTTTTTGTTTCAACGTCAGCTAGCATTCCGGTAGCTGCTGCTACAAACCCAGAATCTTCCTTTGAAAATGTTGCTGTTGTTGTCTCTGATGCTGCCCTTGTTGTGGTTGCTGGTGGTGATCCTTGTCGCAAAACACACCAATCATGTACAGTCAGTCTTCCCACAGACTTATCCATCGTTAGCCAACCAACTCTTCTTTCATTCATACTCTCTACGTCGTTCTAAATCTATTCACACCAAGATATTCTATCCATGTTCTTTCGGGTTTCAGTGCACATATTCATTCTCACTTGTCCAAGGCGCACATTCACTTTGAATCATATATCACGACCTTATAAAGTCATAGTTTTAAACAACAAGCGTATGACCTCATGTGTCCTTTATTACGTGTATCATCCTTTGTTTCATCTTTTATCCCCTTGTTCTGCCTATCAAACAGCTTGAATAGTATGGTTAGCTTTGTTTTTATTGCAAACATTGATAAAAAGTGAAAAAGACGAAATAAAGATTAAAAAAAAAGAAAATGATGGAAATGGTCAAAAATGATTAAAAAGTTGCATTTTTTCCGCACGACAATAAACCACCTCGTTCCCTTTTAAAACTACCAGAATCAACTTTAAACGCTCATTTCTCGCCCAATAATTGGTTTCGCGCGCTATCTTTAATACATCATACTCAGATTGAGTAAAGCGGATTATATTTGTCATGTTTACAATCTATCACTGCCATTAATCGCACTTTTAACGGTTTTTTCAATTTTAATCTTTCAATCAATTTGTAACCAGGGCGTTTAGAATTGTTTCCGATAGTCAGACGTCTACCCTATCTATCAGTATTTTTGGTTTATTTTTAGCACTAAAACTCATCGATTAACGTAACTTTCAAAAATAGAAAAAATGCGCGCCCGACAGTTTAGAGCTATGGTTGATGGTTGTTTCATGCTTATGTGTCTGTACCACAGACACGTTTTACTTGTGCTGTTGAAGTGGAGATTGTTGGCGATGGTACCACCAAGTAATAAAACACTTCAGAGTTATCATCCATTACATAGGCTGTCTCCAAGGCCGTCATTTCTGGTAATGGGTATAGATCACTCATCATCAATATAGTGATCACCAACCTTCACTCCCATCAACATAGCCTCGTCTATTTTTTGCACTTTGAAGCCCATCTCTGTCATTAATTGCTTCAGTTGGCTAATAACCGTCAGACGCTCCTTTTCAAATAGTCTAACTACGGAATAGTGTAACCCCTAGTCAAAGCTCATGTGTATTTTACTCCCCTGGTGTCAGTATAGACTAACTCTATCCCTAGCTCACCCTCTGTTGACAAATTATTACTATATGCTACTCTTATCTCTATTGCACATTTTCTGATTCATCTTGTGTCAGTACACGCAGCCCCTAAACCTAAGTACGCCATCACATTCATCTTTTGTCATAAAACACTACCCCTATCTCTAACTGCGTCTTATGATACTCTTCTCACTACTCCTATCCCTGACTGAGTCTTATGATACTCTTTCCTCCTATTTTGGATTATTACGGCATATTTTGACGTTTAACCATCCATTGTCTCTCTCTTCATCATGTTATTCCTCCTTGCTTTACTTTATTTCATTTCTACACCCATTTAATTTCACTTTCTTTTAATTTACTTTCTTTTGCTTCTGAACATCGTTCATATATTTAACCTTCTTGTAATTCAGTATATTTTAATTTTGAACTTCTTTAATTTTCATGAATGTCTTTAATTTTATTTTCCAACTTCTTTCATTTTCTGGCCGTTCCTCAATTTTATTTCTCAATTTCTTCAATGTCATTGCTATGCTTCAATTTTACTTCTCAACTTTTTTAATTTTACTTCAATTTCACTTTTGTTGATTTTTGGACTTGTTCAATTTTCTTGGCCTTCTTCAGTTTAACTTCTCACCTTTTAATTTTCATGACCTTCTTCAGTTTTACTTTTTAACTTGTTTAATTTTTCTTCAATTTTATTTCCTAACTTCTTAAATGTATGTAAACTTCCCTTAATTTTACTTTCTTTTGATGTGGTACCTCTTTAATTTCTTCAATTTTATTTTCCTTTATTTTGGAACTTCTTTATTTTTGTCAGCTTCCTCAATTTTACTTTTTTTATCTTTCAAACTTCTTCAATCTTCACGACCTACTTTAATATTACTTTTCAATTTCTTCCATTTTTTACGACCTTCTTCAATATTACTTTTCAATTTCTTCCATTTTTCATGACCTATTTTAATTTCACTTTTGATGTTGTTCAAGTGTTCATGATCTTCTTTAATTTTATTTTCCAAGTTTCTCACGTTTTCCTGACCTTATTCAATATTACTTTTCAATTTGTATTATATTTCATGACCTTATTCAATATTACTTTTCAATTTCTTTTATTTTTCATGACATACTTCAATGTTACTTTTCAACTTCTTTTATTTTTCATGACCTACTTTAATATTACTTTTCAACTTCTTTTATTTCTGGTGAGCTTCTTTAATTTTACTTTTGAAGTCGCTCAAGTTTTCCTGACCTTCTTCAATTTTACTTTTAAACTTCTTCAATCTTCATGACCTTATTCAATATTACTTTTCAACTTCTTTTATTTTTCGTGACATACTTCAATATTACTTTTCAATTTCTTGTATTTTTCGTGATATCCTTTAATTTTACTTTTCAAGTTCTTCCAGTTTTCACGGCATATATTAGTATTACTTTCCAACTTCTTCACATTTTAAGGGCCTACTTCAATTTTATTACTGGTGACTTTTTCAACTTTTTTACTTTTTCTTCAATTTTATTTTCCAACTTATTTTATTTCTGGAATCTTTTCCATTTTTAATTTCTCTACTTTTGAATTTCTTAAACTTGTTTACCTTTTACTTTTAATATTTCTTACTTTTTACAATCTTCTTCAGTTTTACTTTTTTCACTTTTGAATTCTTTAAATTTTTTTCTTCTAAACTTGCTCAATATTTACAATCTTCTTCACTTTTAATTTCTTTTACTTTCAAACTTTTTTAAATTCTTTTACGTTTCTCCATGTCACTTTTCTTTACTTTGTAACTTCTCTATTTTGTCGTAAGCTTCTTACATTTTACTTTGTTTACCTACTAAACTTCTTCACGTTTATTTTCTTTTACTTTGGAACTTCATTGTCACAATGTTCTTCCACTTTGCGTTGTTTTACCTTCAAACATTTTGAATATTCATTACCTCTCTCTCTCTTGTCTGTTTATCCGACCCCTACTTCTGAATTACGCCTTTACATCTCTGGTATACTTACGACTTTCTCATTTCCCTTCTTTCTACTTGTCTTTACCTCCATATCACTCTAAACCTGTCTTGTCTGTATTCTGTGTCTTAACCTAAAGTGTTCCTTACACCTAAACCCGGCTTCCATGTGAGTTTACACTTTATCACCTAAAAACTCAAAGAGTTATCATAATTTGACGATTTCTTTATTTTCTACTTATTAATCTCTGTGCTTATTTTTTAAAGCGTTGCGCTAGATTTAAACCTGGCTTCCATATAAGTTTCCACTTTATCACTTTAGAACTCATTGACTTGTGGTTTTTTCCGTTTTATTTCATTTTCTACTTATTAATCTTTGTGCTTGTTTTTTTGAAAGATGCGCTGGACCTAAACCCGGCTTCTGTATAATTTTTCAGTTTATAACTTAAAAACTCATAGCGCTATGATATTTTGACCATTTCTTTACTTTTTACATAATAATCTTTAATTTTATTTTTGTAACAGTTGCGCTGGACCTCGACCCGGCTTCCGTATGAGTTTCCACTTGATCACTTTACAACTCAATGACTTGTAGTATTTTCCATTTTTTGGCATTTTGTACTAATTAATCTTTGTGCTTGTTTTTTTAAAAAGTTGCGCTAGACATAAACCCAGCCTTCATATAAATTTCCACTTAATCCCATTGAGACTCATTGACTTGTAGTTTATTTCAATTTTTTTTATTAATCTCTTTTTTTATTTTTGTAAACGTTGCGCTAGACCTAAACCCGGCTTCCATAAAAATTTCCAATTTGTAGCTTCACAACTCATAGAGCTATCGTCTTTTGCTGATATTTAAATTTTGTACTTATTAATCTCTATGCTTGTTTTTTAAATCGTTGCGCTAGGCTTAAACCCGGCTTCCGTGTGAGTTTCAAATGTATAGCTTCAAACCTCATAGAGTTATGGTTTTTTGACGATATTTCAATTTTGTACTTATTAATGTTTGAATTTACTTTTGCAAAAGATGCGCTGGACCTAAACCCGGCTTCTATACAAGTTTTGACTCAATCGCTTTGAAACTAATGAAGCTATTGTTTTTTGCCGATATTTCAAGTTTGTACTTACTAATCTTTAATTTTATTTTTGTAAAAGTTGCGCTAGACCTAAACCCGGCTTCCATATGAATTTCCACTTTATAGCTTCAAAACTCATGGAGCTATAATCTTTTAACGATTTCTCTATTTTTTACTTATTAATCTTTACTTTTAATTTCGAATACGTTGCGCAGTATTTAAACCCAGTTCCGGTATAAGTTTCCACTTGATCCCATTAAAACTCATACAGCTATCGTCTTTTGACGATTTCTCTATTTTGTACTTATTAATCTCTATGCTTGTTGTTTTGAAAGATGCGCCAAACCTAAACCCGGCTTCTATACAAGTTTCCACTTTATGGCTTTAAAACTCATACAGCTATCGTCTTTTGACGATTTCTCTATTTTGTACTTATTAATTTTTAATTTTAGTTTTTTAAAAGTTGCGCTGGGGCTAAACCCGGCTTCTATATAAATTTTGAGTTTATCGCTTTAAAACTCATGGAACTATTGGGTTTTCCGTTTTCTTTCATTTTCTACTTATTAATATTTAATTTTAATATTGCAAAGGCTGTGCTAGACCTGTGGTATTTGACAAGATAGTTACAATAGAAACGTAATGAGATAAAAGTATATCTTTTATTGGAGGTAAAAATAGACTAAAAGAACTCTGCTGCTATGAAATAATTGATGCTTTTTATATTGCACAACTCTCCTGAGTTTTAATGATGAGTGAACCTGTCTGGTTTTGAAATAGATCCATACTTTGTTTGCCCCCTTCGGATTAAATGGATACTACTCGTTAGAATTGTTTCCAGATAACGTTGTCCCATATCAGTGGATTGGGAGCATCAGTATTTTAATAAATCTTTAGTATTACGAGATACTTATTTATCAGATCATGCAACGGTTACTGTAAAAGATGCATACTTGGTTGTCAAGTGTAATTGGCAACAGAACATAATAGTTGATCATTTATTCATTATCTTTGTATTGAATAAATTACGATCCCAAATATAAAATATCTTATATTTGTATATTTGGTTGTAGAAGATAGGTATCCATTAATTCATACACTATTTCTTTATACTCTTTATCAGCAGCATAATTATGTCAATATATAAGTAAATGAACCATTTATATTAATAGCTGCTCTATTCTCTCTCTGGGTAGCTAATCCATTGAGAGAACTATTAATATTAAGTTTCTCTTTCTTATTATTCTTGATTGATCTGACAATTTCTCTTCTCGATCGGTGATATCGTAACTCAGTGATATAGCATTCTGTATCCAACTGTCATTCGTATATCGTATTTAGGCTAATCATGCAATCTTTAATATAGAAGTATGTACTCAAAGTAGGGAAAGTTGCATAGCAGTATACAAGCGTATGCTGATATGCAACATCAAAGGTTGTTTTAATTTCATAGTTTATTTATTTAAACGATTTGCTTAATTATTCTTTAGTGAATCGTACCCTAATACGATAAATGTCTTTTGCCTATATTTCTATTTTGTACTTATTAATCTTTAATTTTATCTTTGCAAAAAATGCGCGAGCCTTAAACCCGGCTTCTGTATAATTTTCACGTTTATCACTTTAAACCTCAGCGAACTATCGTTTTTCGCACTTTTTGGCCTTTTGTACTTAATAATCTTTAATTTTATTTTTGCAACAAATGCGCTAGACTTAAACCCGGCTTTGGTGTGAATTTGGCCAGGATCCCTTTAAAACTCATGTAGCTATTAGTTTTTTTACATTTTTCTCCATATTGTACTTATTAATCTTTAATTTTATTTTTTTATTTGATGCGCTAGGCCTAAACCTGGCTCTGGTATAAATCTCACTATAATCCAATCAAAACTCATGTAGCTATTAGTTTTTTACGTTTTTCTCTATATTGTACTTATTAATCTTTAAGTTTATTTTTTTATTCGATGCGCTAGACCTAAACCCGGCTCTGGTATAAATTTCGCTATGATCCAATCAAAACTCATGTAGCTATTAATTTTTTACGTTTTTTTCTACAACGCACTTATTAATCATTGACTACACTTTTCCAAAAGATGCGCTAGGCCTAGACCCGGCTTTGACTTTAATTTCAAGTTTATCACTTCAAAACCTATGACGTTACCTTCTTTTTACGTTTTTCTCCATACTGTACTTATTAATCTTTGATTTTATTTTTCTAAAATATGCGCTAGGCCTAGACCCGGCTTCCGCATGAATTACAACTTTATCCCCTTTATTTTTGGACAGTTATCATCTCCCACACTTGTAAACCAAAAAATGAATGCAAGCAAGTTTTATTTCAAAAGCATGTTAACCACGCAACGTTATTCCTTGACTTTATTGTCTTTCATCATATTCTTCACGAGCTCTTCCATTTTGTAGGTCCGTTTCCAACATGTACACCGGCAACGGAACATGATTAAACACCAATCTACCTCCTACTGATACACCCATATACGTAGGACCATTGTTTGTAGCAAACACAAACCCAGCTGTCTCCAACAATCGCTTCATCTGGTAAATGGCCTCATCCGGGTCATCTTTAATACGAGCTTGCCAAACGTCCCCTTCATATTCTAGTGTGGTGCTGGTCATGATTTATAAAAAAAAAAATTGAGAGAGAAAAACATTTAAACTTGAAAAAAAAAGTACCCCTATTTATACCATTTCTCAGCAAGTTGCATAATATAAACATACGTGCCGAGTCATTCATTTTTCTCACGTTATATTGAACAGGGGTGCAAATTTTTTTTTCCCATTTAATCTTGCATAAAATCTTTTTTTTTGTCTACTCGGAACTCTACCTTTTCCTTGGTCGTTATGTCTGTTTTGAATTTGACCTCTTGCAAAACAATTTATTTTATCTTGACCTCTTGTCTTCTTCCATGTCATCCCAAATGATCTCATTTGCCACGGCTATTTCCCTATGATCGGCATTGATTGCTCGTAATTTTTGTTCAATTTGATCAAACATCCAATCGATCGAATTTGTTCTCAAAAAAACTTCATTTTCTCGCTAACGGATGCGCCATCAAAACTGCCATTTCGCGATGAAATCCAGCTTCAATCATGGTGTAGCTTGTGACGTTGATAATTTCGCTGGCTAAAATACCTGCCATTCCTAACAATCCATAAAGATGGAGAACACGTTCTCCCCGTACTTTCCTTTTATAGAAGCCGACTTGGTCTGCTCCATTTTGGATCATAAGATCCTCTGCGTCTCCAGGCTGCATGTTTTGATACACAACGTATTCCTAATATGTCAGGTAGTGGTATAACAGACAATACTTTTAAATACTTGTTATGGGGTGTTTGTCATTGTAAACGTATCATTGATTATCGACAATCTAAACGTGAACTCAGCCAAGTCGCCTGATTCTAACAAGCGAACGAACGTAGTACCCATATCCACACTTCTGGACGATGCGTTGAGCTCATCGTCCCTTCTTTGTAATTTGGCGAGGTAGCTGGGATTATCATTTTTTTCAAGTCTATTCAAGAGACGACCTTCTATATCAGCAAGCTCCTCTTGCTCTGCTGTTGTTGATGATGGTGCTGTTGCTGCTGTTACGGCTGTTCTTGAGCTTGTGGCTCTAGCCATAGACGCTTCTAATCTTTCAATGACCGGAGACGGTCTAGGTGCAGGCGAAGCTGCCACTCTTGCTACTGCGGCTGATGCTGCTGATGCTGCTGATGCTGCTGCTGCTGTTGATGATGATGATGTTGCTGCTGTTGTTTCCTGAACAGCGTCAAATGCCGCAGCTAACTCTGCTGATGCTTCAGCTAATGCAGCCTCCCTTTCTGTTTTTGGAGGAGCTGCTGCTGCCGCTGCTTCTACTGCTGCTACTGCTGCTAAAACAGCTGTAGCTGCTGCCTCATCAGCCGCTTGTTGAACGGCTGCTTCAAGTTCTGCTGCTGTTGTTGTTGTTGCTGGAGCTGCTGCTGTTGTTGTTGGTGTTGTTGTTGCTGCTGTTGTTGTTGCTGGAGCTGCAGCTGTTGTTGTTGTTGTTGTTGCTGCTGCTGCTGTTGCTGTTGCTTCTATTGCTGCTGCTAATTCGGCAGCTGCAACCTCAAATTCAGCATCCTCATCTTCATCTTCTCCTACTGCTCTACCCACAATAGGCCCAAATCATGTTCTTCTAATTCGTCATCACCACACGAATCTACCCAGTTGATGGTCAAGATGTTCAAAGTACGTGGATCCGCTACATAATAACCATCATATTTTGTGGCTAATGTAATATGATTCTTCATATGAGCCAGGCGGAAGCCACTCTCACGCATTATTCTTTGGAATTATTTTATTCCGCGATGCGGTTCACGTGCATTATTGAACTGAAAGTACTTAATAAACTTTTCAAAATCAGGATATTGCATAATGTCAAAAAAAGTTATAAAGAAAAAAGAAAAAAAATAGACAACATTCTTTTCGGACAGCGTTTACATACCCCCCTATGTCTTCATTGTGACGCTATAAAAAAATTCCCTTTTTCAGTTCCATCTCTGTCTTTAGAATACAAGTATACATCTCTTCTCTTTTAGATTTAGTCCCTTTATTGCTATTGCTGTTTCCTTTGTTTTCTATCTGTCATGTATTTTTATTGATGATCCTTTCCAAATGGCATTCCATCTCGTAAACATGGTTATTCATGAAGATTTACTTTCTTTTTTTTATACTTGATGGTATTCCTCTTTAAATACATTGTACTTGACCTTATGTCTTCATGTTCCTCATAATTGTGTCCTTTCTCTTCTTAGTTGATTGTATTCTTTTTTAAATGTAATTATACTTCCCTCTATTTCATCTTTGCTTTTCTTGATTGATCATCTTCCATCCTATTTGTATGTAACTATGTCTTCTTTTTCTGATACACTCACATGCAATTATATCGTACCTTGCAACATCAATTTTAACAGTTACTTGATTCATTGACACATTGCTTTCATTTAATCCATTGAATTACAGCGTGTACCTTTTAATTCCATCTTATTTTGTTCCATTTCGATGGATTCCATTGCATTCGATTGTATTCCGATTGACTCCATTGCATTCAATCATACTCTATCGTAGTCCCTCCAATCTCATTCAATTACATTGAATTTCATGCAATTACACTCAATTACAACCAATTACATCAAGTACCATCCAATTACGTCAATTAACATCCAATTATACTCAATTCCACCCAATTGCATTCAATACCATCTAATTACACTCAATTCCATCCAATTACATTATATTCCATCCAGCAGCATTCAATGCCACCCAATTAGACTCAATTCACTCCAATGGCATCCAATTCCATGCAAGTACATTCAATACTATCAAATTACATTCAACAACATTCAATTCAAAGGTATTCAATGCTATTCAATTTTATTCAATGTTATTCTGGTCATGTACATCCTCTTCTGTCGTATTCCGGCAGATTAAATTCAATTCCATCCAACTCTGTCATGTCGTGATCTGCTATATTGTTGCTACATTAAATAAACCTATATCTATAACATCAATACATTAAGAATGATTAAGGAATCAATTACCCAATACAGGTAGTTAGTACTATCATATCACAAGGTTACAAGAACACAGTGACTAAGGCTTACTAAAGATATGGAAGTACAATGTGTCTAAGATGACAGTAATTCCAAGTGTAACATATTTACAAAATAAGCAGTTAAAGGTAACAGTATAAACACTGGGAAAATGATAACAACTTCAAAGATACACCAAAGATAGTGGTACAGCAGATAGTCTTTTTTGTATAAATACTTGTTCATTTTATTTCATAATAAAGACAATCGAATAAACAGTCTCAAATTACTTATATACTGCCTTATAATTTTACTTACCTCAAAACACAACAATTCCATCAACTACTGACTATTCGTGTTTTTAGTAAATTTATTGCTCACTTTGTGTCATTGCTGGTTCATTTCTATATTTTAATTAAAGCTGCCCTACCAAGTACTACCACCGTCACAGATATTCCTCTATCACTTGATATCGTTAATCAAATATTTGTACGCGATTTTTAATTATTAATATAACAATTTTATACCTACTTCATAAACAATGACTGTTTGGTGTTCATATTTTGTTTCAACACGAGCTAGTCAATTATGAAACTGCTACAAGTACTACTTGTTTAAGCATATGGTATAATTAATAGGTATTCTGGAACATCGACATTTTTGCTAATTTCTGTGGTTTTCTGATCAATAATTGTTTTCTGTTCGTAATGTTTGGTAGATAGATACTCTATATAAAGCTAGGACTATTATAAAAAGGCTTATTACTGTGTCCGTCAAACGTTTAGCGTAGTTGACCCACGTATTTTTGGGTTTCTATGTCTGACTGTGTCGTGTCTTACCTCCTTTATGGTAGAGACTTTTTTAACAATTTAATTAGACAGCCCAGGCTATTGGCATTTTATTAAAACTATTCCTACCTCTTTAAAAATGTTTTTCGACTTCTGAAAAATATTTTTCCCCTTTAAGTAAATTATACTTTTATTAACGTATCTTTTGGCTGGTGACGATTAGTTGGTGTTTTGTTCTCATACTTGCTCCATGAACCTACAATTTTTTCCTAAACCTGTCTAAATTGCGTCAGTCCTTTAGAAGTGTCGGAGAAAGTATTATTTGGTTATATTGTCGGGTTTTATATGTATTTAAAAAATTGTCAAGGTAAAGACGGTGTCAATTCCGTTGCTGTTTATCTCATATGCAGTGGAGATATCTCTTTTATCATGCTAAAACTATTCAAATTATTTATCAGTACTAGTTCTTGGCAAAACATTACCTACCATACCGATCGGCGATACGTTTAATAACTTCCTCCGTACTCGCTAGTATTTAAACAGGTCTTCCCATTTTCCATCCGAAAAAGTATGGAAGTACCAAGTTAATTTCAAGTAACTCTAAAATATAATATATTTTATACACTGCATCACATGATTCTTGGTAATTTATTCCATTAACTTATTAGTTATGTTGTCAAAACTGATTATATCATTTTAGTACGAGCTTTGGCTATTTTCGTGGAAAAATGTCAAATTTCATTTGGTGAACAACTCTGTTTGTGTAAGCAAGTATTCTTCTGTCTGTCCTGTCCGCCTTTCCACTCTTCACATTGGCCGATTGTATATTAATGAGATATTGAAACCAGCGAATTATTTTACGCAATTTGATAAATATCCCCAAAATAGGGTCATCCACTCAAATATTCCGGTATCAAGCAGATATTTCGCTCCTAATAGTGGGAGATACAATCTCATCATTCGGCCCAATGTTTACCATGCGGCTAATTTAACGCTCATCAACTAGAACTTGTTTATGAATTCCTATAATCTTATATAGAAAAAACCGTCAATGCTCTCAAAGGTTAGTGTCGATTATCTTTCGAACCGGATTCTTACATCTTGCTAACCGTATATCTAAAACATGAGTCTAACATTAGACTCTATTCATCTAACTTCAGACCCATAAAAATCATAAACCCGATCAAACAAATTTGCCCTAGAAATATACCATTAGCAAGCCACGAAAGTATTTAACATAACTTTATGTAGTTCTTATTTTCATCCAGGTTTGCTATCTCTGGTAAGGCTGGGCTTTCAGAGGGAAGACTGGTCTAGTGCACCAAGTGTATGTCACTAAAACATAAATGAGTCAATGAGATGACCGTTCTTGGGACAAGAATAAAACCACTAAAAAGGGCTCGTTTTTTTATGTATGATGGCGTTCGTGCATTTATCGATCCCGATTTCGTCCGGTGTTGCTCTGCGGCTTCTTCTTCTGTCGCCCCTGCTTCTATGGCTTCTTCTTCTGCGGCTTCTCTTGCGGCTCCTCCTGCTCTTCTGCCAGCAGCTCTTCCTGTGGCTCCTCCTGGGGCTACTCGTGAGCCTTTTTCTGGGGCTCCTTCTGCGGCTCCCTTTGTGGCCGCCACTCCCCCTGACGTTTTTGTCCGTCAGTATGAAGGTAGGTTTGTCACCATGGTAATGGTTATTCGATAAAACTAACCTGCATCTAATGTTGTCTTTCTCTCTAGTAGGTGAACGTTTTCGACCTTTTCCTGGTGATATTGTGCACGCAATCACCACCACCACAAATGCCATTTGATTGCTCTTTCCTCGTGTCGCTGGAGGGCATTTGGGGAATACGGTTATAACGGAGTATATTTTTGTACAAGGAAACATGGCCGCATCACAGGTTCGAAACCTTCTTCTGGCTTTAATCCTTTTTTTAATGAATGATGGGGTGCTCACCGTGCGCCAACATGCTTGTAAGTTGTTCAATGATGTTTTCAAAATCACCTTAACTTATTTATCTTTATCAAACAAAAATGTAGCGCTGCACTCACCCAACCCAACACGTTCTGAGTTGGAATCCATCAGACTCCCGTTGGAACTTGGAGCCTTTCTTGCTCCGATTTTAGAGGACGCAGGTCTTACCGCTTTGTTGGTGGTGGACTTGCTCCTTCCATCCAAATTATAACGGGCAAGAGCAGCAGTCCTTGAGGACTATGGAAATTTTTTTGCAGGTTTAAACCTGCATGAGTTATTCCAAAATCAACAGGTGCCTTCAGTTCTCGCTTTCGGTGTCGAAACATTGTGGGACTTCTACAATCAGTTTTTAAAACAAAAATAAATCTTTTTTTGTTGACGACATTCATAGTACAGAGAGTGAGAGAGTGAGTAACAATGAGAAAGATCTTGAGCTAGGTACCAGATTCTCTAACCTGAAAACCGATTGTTTGAACACAGTGTTGTGTTGTAGGTAAGTTAAATTATAAGGCATTTATGAATAATTTGAGACTGTTTATAAGATAGTCTTTATTATGGAATAAAATGAACAAGTATTTATATAAAAAAGACTATCTGCTGTGCCACCATCTTTAGTGTATTTTTGAAGTTGTTTTCATTTTCCCAGTGTTTATCCTGATACCTTTAACTGCGTATTTTGTAAATATGTTGCACTTGGAATTACTGTCATTTTAGATACATTGTCCTTCCATAACTTTAGTAAGCCTTAGTCACTGTGTTCTTGTAACCTTGTGAAATGATAGTACTAACTATCTATATTGGGTAATTGATTCCTTCATCATTCTTAAGGTATTGATGTCATAGATATGGATTTATTTAATGTAGCAACAATATAGCAGATTACCACACATAGAATCTCTGACCTGATAAGGGAATTGTTATTTTCACCCCCTTTTTTCTTATTTTCACCCCCTCGATTTGTTTTGGTCTTTTTTGACCTATTAAACTGCGGATTTGATTCGACTTATATTTTGACATTTCGGCGGGACTGCTCTGTCAAAGCATAAATAAATTGTACCTTTCTACTTTCATCCCAATCCAGTTACGTTTGTCTTAACGTTTATTGTTTCAATGTCTTTATCAAACGAAAACACCTTTTACC